GGCTTTTTAAGTCTTTTTTTAAGACTTTTGACGGTAAAATCGTTCTTCAGAAAAAATTATTTGAGCCGTGGCTCTCTTTTTTCGCAAGAAGCGGTGAGCTCAACGCTAAGATGGATTCCTTGATATAATTGGCTAGAAAATGACATGCCTCTCTTGTGATTGGTTCATATCAGTTGATGTGCAAAATCGTGCAATTTAGAGCTCAAAATCGTGCAATTTATGCTGAAATCACTGCTGCAGGGAACCAATCAGATTGCAGGATTTGCTTGTGATTTCAAAATGGATGTAATAAAGAGGAAAACAGTTTTCGGATAAGTTTTATTTTTTTCTATTTTCGAGCAAGCAATTTATGACCTACGAAAACTAAATGTTTCGGATCATTTTGATCATGATACGCCAATACATATTTACTGTTACACAACCCTAAGAGTAGTAAGTTCTAATTACTTGAGCTTCAACTATTTGATATTTTTGAAGTAGTTTCAACCCTCAGAATGATAATTACTGGTGATTAGCGGTATAAGGAAGGGGGGCTTCCTCAGCGCGGGGGCCCTGTGGAAATGAAGGAACATTAAGACGTTGAGGATTAAATAAAGAGATGCTAATCCCAAGATAAAAACTCTTCAATCTAAAAACGAAAACAAGATCTTACGATCGTTACTAATCCACTCATCACTCAGGTTTTTCATTTCGGGAAATTATTTGCTTTCCTTGTAAATAATGAATTTCTAGACGAAAACAACCCACTGTCCCTGCAGTGGCTTAATTGGCTGGTTACACGGATGACAACATGACAAAAAGAGATCCTACAGAGCGCAAATCATTTACGAAAGTACGGCACGAGAGAAAATAGGGTAACTACTATTTTCGTTAATGGTAACTGCTGGAAACAGTTTACAACTGTGTTGGAAAATAAGAAGCAATCTTTAAAATTCATCAGAAAAAAACGTGGCGGGGGTTTGTTGCTAAAATTACGCGGAATGATTAGTATACTAGATGTCTTTTACTAATTTCAGCTAATTTCTATTTCTGTAAGATGCCGTCAAAGAGATGATAAAGAGGATGGATGGATGGATGGATGGATGGATGGATGGATGGATGGATGGATGGATGGATGGATGGATGAATGGATGGATGGGTGGTTTATTGTCCTATGATCATCTTTTTTGCAGAG